GCCTTATTTTTGCATAGTATTTTAGGCCTATTTGTGGGCTGTTTTGGACTTTTCCATAAACTATGAAATATCTTTTTTTGAGCTCCTCTTAAACATTGTTGAAGGGCTCTCCTCTGTTTGAGACCAGCAGCTATCACTTGCCTCTTTAACTCTCTTTTAGGCCTTATTTTTGCATAGTATTTTAGGCCTATTTGTGAGCTGTTTTGGACTTTTCCATACAACTATAAAATATCTTGTTTTGAGCCCCTCTTCACCATTGTTGAAGGGCTCTTCTCTGTTTGAGAATAGAAGCTGCCACTTGTCCTTTTACCTCTTCTTAGGCCTTTTCTTGCATAAAATAGTTTTGGCCTTATTTGTGATTTTTTAAGTGGCTTGATGTAAACTGTAAAGTGCCCGTTTTTTGACTCTCTTCAATTTTTTTGAAGGGCTCTTTTCCATTTGGGGCCAGCTGCTGTCCCTTTGTGTTTAATCTCTCTTTTAGGGCCATTTTTGCATGATAGATTAGCCCTATTTGTGTTCATTTTTGAGGTTTGTTATAAACTGGAAATATGCATGTTTTGGGACTGTCTTGCATCTGTCCTCATGCTTCATGATAAAATAACACATGTTTTGTATAGCTATAGGCCAATGCATATGCCTAGTTTTGTGTTTCGGGGCCATTCCTTGCATCGGGTGCCATGTTTCCAGGTTTCGGGATCATTTTGCTTCACATTTTAGTGCTGAAACTTGCATGTTTGTATGCCATATTTCGTGCCTTGCCATGCCTTGTTAGAGTGGCATTTGTGCCTTAGGATCGGTCCTCGGTTTGCATGCATGTGTGCACGCATTTCGAGTGTCTCATTTTCATCTCATGGCCACTGATGTGAGTGTGGCTGAGGTCCACTAATGTTGGTGTAAGTCCATTGTGCATTGTGTATGCCATTTCATTTCATAGCATTGTGTATGTTAGGTTGTATGTTAGCGCATTGTGTATGCCATGTTACCTCGTGCATCGTGTATGCCATTTCATAGCATTGTACATGCTAGGTTGTATATTAGTTGCATTCATGCATGTCATGCATATTGCATTGTGTTTGGGATAGGAGTTAGCTCCAGCACGGGAAACGAGGGACGTTTCGTACTTCGAGGGACGGAACGTGTCTCAATTCCCGGTCACCGACACTCCGAATTATCCATGATGGAGTTTAGATCTTGTTGTCTTTATATGTGCATTCATTTCATATTGAGCCGTGCAATTCGACTCATCGGCCAACATGCATCGATATGCGTGATTGGTGGCACGAGGATCGAGGACTACACTCCCTGAAGAGTAGTCATGCATACATATGTGAAAATACTTTGCCATGCCCCTTTGTTGCTCTCTGTTGCAGCAAATCAGAAATCGGCGGCCTTTTGGAGCTTGGCACGCATTCCAAGAACAATTGCAAACAGAGGCAAACCGAGGCATCGCGAGGGATTCTCCGCACAAGGCAACCCGAGCATGCATCATTCATCATCCAGAGCAGATTTGAGGCAGTCCCTGGCTTGCATGCCAATTTATTGCTTTCCTACTAAAAAATGGGTTTTTCTCTCTCCTGGTTCACATTCTCCGGGTTTCTACCACATAGTTGTGTTGTGCACACATGGGAGGCCACCTTTTTGAGGTGGCAGACCAGCAATTGTCCTTGACCCTTTTGACCCTTGGCC